CAATCAGCAACATGTGTTTTTTCTTTTTAGTAGTTCAGTATATGGCTTTACCATTAGTAGTCAATACAACACAGTTAGTTCAAACCACATGGATAATATGGATTTTAAAAAATTAGACACCTGAGCTGCTTAGACTAAATTTTTGACAATGGATAGTATTAGTGTCAGACTTATGAAGTTACACAAATGAATGGTTGGCTTGACTACATTGATTGTATGGATACGCCTTATCCTTTGTGGTGATTTTCTTCTTCAATTTCCCTATTGATCATGTATTTCCCAAGTAGCTTAACAGTCCCTCCTTGGATTGTTTACTTTTCTTGTCTTTAGGTGTAACTACAAATAAGAATACTGATATGATAAAGTTACACGGTTTTCTTCAATGGTTTGCTTCATATGTTGAACATTCTCCTTCATCCAACATATGATGGTATGATCTGCATCTTGGCTGTCTCTGTATGCCATGACAATTGTTTTTGTATTAATTTTGCAGGAAGTTGGGCTCAATATAAGGAGGCAACACTCTCATGAAGGTGCAGAAGTTCTTTCACGGCCTGCAGTTGTAACAGTGATGGGTCATGTTGACCATGGTAAAACTTCTCTTTTAGATGCTTTACGTCAGACATCAGTGGCAGCCAAAGAAGCTGGTGGTATAACTCAGCATCTCGGTGCTTTTGTTGTGGGCATGCCATCAGGAGCATCTATTACATTCCTTGATACACCTGGTCATGCTGCATTCAGTGCCATGAGGGCCAGGGGTGCAGCAGTCACAGATATTGTTGTGTTAGTTGTAGCTGCTGATGATGGTGTGATGCCACAAACTCTTGAAGCAATATCCCATGCAAAGGCAGCTAATGTGCCAATTGTGGTTGCAATTAATAAATGTGATAAACCTGCTGCCAACCCAGAAAGAGTGAAAATTCAGCTTGCTTCAGAGGGCTTGCAGCTGGAGGAGATGGGTGGGGATATTCAGGTGGTTGAAGTTTCAGCAGTAAAGAAAACTGGACTTGATAGTTTGGAGGAAGCTTTGCTTCTTCAGGCTGATATGATGGATCTAAAAGCACGAGTTGATGGGCCTGCTCAAGCCTATGTGGTGGAGGCTAGACTTGATAAAGGACGGGGTCCATTGGCTACTGCTATAGTAAAGGCAGGGACATTGGTCTGCGGGCAGCATGTTGTTGTAGGTCGCGAATGGGGCAGAATAAGAGCTATTAGGGACATGTTGGGGAAATTGACTGAGGCTGCAAAACCTGCAATGCCAGTTGAGATTGAGGGCTTGAAGGGGCTTCCAATGGCTGGTGATGATATTATTGTTGTGGATTCAGAGGAAAGAGCTAGAATGCTCAGTGAAGGGAGGAGAAGAAAAGCCGAGAAAGATAGGCTTAGGAAGATTAATGAGGGACGGACAGAAAATGTAGAGGAGGAATCAGAAGACATGCCTAAGAGAGTTGAAATGCCAATTATCGTAAAAGCAGATGTGCAGGGCACTGTTCAAGCTGTAACAGATGCATTGAAGACTTTAAATAGTCCCCAGGTAAGCATTACTTTTCTACATCACCAAATTGTTGTCTTAGTTTGGGTGCTGCTGTTGTTGGGTTTTCCCCTTCCATATTTCCAGTGGTAGTTATTTCATGATGATCCTGTTGTATCCTCAGAATACCACTTTCTTTATTTTTATAATTAAGTCTACCTGTCACCAGAAAGAAAAGTCAAAGGATGTTTATAGTTAAATTCGTGAAACGTTGTGGTTGTTGCTGAATAGATTACTTTGTGTCCACTAAGTGCTTGTCCTGTTTTCCTTTCATTGTTGAAATGCTAATCAATTACACTGCCAGGTTTTTGTGAATGTGGTCCATGTTGGTGTTGGGCCAATTTCGCAGTCTGATGTGGACTTAGCACAAGCTTGTGGTGCATGTATAGTTGGATTTAATATAAAAAGTCCGCCTAGTACAGTCATTCAGGTTGCAACTCGAGCCAACATAAAGGTACATCTTTTCTGGGCACTTATATTTTCTCCATTCTCAAATGGGGTTTTGACCTTGCATTAGTAATTTTGCAAGAAATGTGAATCTTACTTTAAACCCTTGGGCATGATTAGTTGTTATTTAATATGAAATAGAAGTTGTTTTGTGGATGTTTGAAGCATTCGGGTATTTATTCTGTTGCTTCTTTTCATGACTGTAGATAGTGTTGCATCGTGTTATCTATCACCTTCTAGAGGACATTGGTAATTTGATTGTTGACAAAGCTCCTGGCACTTTTGAGACCCGTGTGGCTGGAGAGGCTGAGGTGCTGAATATTTTTGAGCTCAAAGGAAGAAGCAAGTCCAAGGGAGACGATGTGAAAATTGCTGGCTGCAGAGTGATTGATGGTCGTTTCACCAAATCATCGACTATGAGACTTCTCAGGAGTGGGGAAGTCGTGTTTGAGGGATCTTGTGCATCGCTCAAGCGGGAGAAACAAGATGTAGAGACTGTAGGAAAGGGAAATGAGTGTGGACTCGTCATCTGTGATTGTGATGATTTTCAGGTTGGCGATGTCATCCAGTGCTTGGAGCAAGTTATCAGGAAACCCAAGTTCATTTCGTCAGAGAGCGGAGCTGTTCGAATCGAGTGCTGATACAGTTTCTGTGGATTTACGAAAAACATGAAATTCAGATGCTCAAATGATGACAGTAGGAATACTGCACATACAAGAGACAGTCGACACCAAGCTTCACCTGCACTGTAATTTTATCACTGCGGCGGTACTAAAACTTTATTTTAATGACATTGGTCAAGTTTTGATATGAGTTATAACATAGGGAAAAATATTTTTCAGTGGTTAGTATAAAGTATTCTTTTTGCACACTCGAGGAAATTACTAATTCTTGTACCAAAAGATTAGGAACTCATTTTTTTTCTCTCTTTTTCTTTTTTCTTTTTGGTGGAAGAGGATGTAATTTGTAAGCTCATGAAATAGATGAGCATGACTATGATTGATGCTTGTGTTCATTGTGGATCTTTAAGTGCAATAAACATCCTCATTTTTTCTTGGCCACCAAAAATAAGACACCCACATTTATTATCTCTGAGTTTAAAACTAATTTATAATGTTTGATTTAACGAAATTAAGAATTTAATTCATTAACGTAATGATGAAATTTCAATGACTTAGTTGAATTTGATACTAACGCGTCATAATGTACTTACACGGAAGAAATATTGTATGGTGATTAGTTTCTTTCAGTTAAGATAGCGGTAACGAGATAGAAAATTTAATGTAATATTTTTGAATTTTTTTTAAAAAATATGATAAAAATTATCAAAGTTAATAATAAGTAAATAATTAAAAATTATAAAAAAATTATGAAAATAACAAAATTAATGAAAAATTAAATTTAGCAAAATATTTCTAAACTCACTTATTTTATTTTTCAAATAATTTAATTTTATTTCGACATTTAGTTTCACTTGAAGTTCAAACCCAAGAGATATGGTTATCTTTTGTACGCATATTTCATCCTTGCCCCATCACCATGAAATTGCATACGGCGTCGTTTAGGAAAGGAAACAAGAAACAGACAAAAAGCTGAAACAGAGCGTCGCACGCGAGGAAGAACACGCGTAAACGAAGCATGGAGATTCAGGAAGGGTCACCTTCTTGGGGAGTCGATTGTTCCGCAATAATGTGGTGAAGATTTCTTTCCCTGTCTAATAATGATTCGCCTGATGGAAAAGAGAGGAGGTGTATAAAGAACTGGAGAAGAAGGCAAGGTAGCAGCAGGTGAAACGTTCCAGAGCCACTCGATTATGGACCGGGTAGCCAAGGATGAGAGAATACGAGTACGGAGGCAAACCATAACAGATTCTTGAAATCGAGCTAGTGGAGCAGTGAAGAACTAGGAGCCGTTGAGATCAGGACAAGCAAAGGCGCCTAGACGGATAGGATAACAGCAACCTGGGAGGGACTTCAATTCTATCCTGAGTAAAAGGGAGGGAAACAGGGAGTGACAAGAAAAGGAAGGTTTTGGGAGTGAAATTTTTGGAATTTTTGTTGGGGAATCCAGAGATAGAAGTAGAGGTCATATGGAGACGTTTCTTCTTCCTTCCGATGAATCCGTGATTTGGGTTTAAGGAGAAGGGGTTCTGCGTCTTGAAGCTTGAGTGGTAAAGCCTCTGGACCTTTAAGGTTGATTCTGCAATGGATTCAGTAACTTCTTGAGAAAGAACAATTATCAGTTCATGATATTCTTTGAACCTTTGAATGAGCTTAGAATACCATTACTCGGCCACATTTTGTTTTGGTTTGGTTTCAGCAGCATTATAGGTGGAGATATGAACCTTTCAATGTTTGATTTCTGATCATCATGCAAACCATTTGATAAAATGTTTGGGAAACCCGACTAACATACCATGGATTGGAATAGTCTAATGGTTCAAATTCAATTAAAGTCTCAGACATTTCTGTTAATTTGATAGCTTGCATGGGTTGGTATAACTGATTTTGGCTTGATGTATGACTAATATGTGAGGGTCATATTGATATTTTTTTCTAAGAGAAGAGCCAGATTAGTATTTTCCATTTGTTAGCTCGATGATTATTTATTTATTTTCCTTTTATTGCTGATGGTATGTTACATAGGGTGTTTACTTTCCCATAAACTAGACTCTATTGATACGATAAAAATCTTTGGAGGAATGCTGGCCATGAACATGGTCAATTCGTTGTTTAGTTTGGTAAGCAAAACTGTTTATTTGTGTGGCCTGTGGTTTGCATAACCTTATGCTCCCAAATCATGGCCATTTCTCATGGGCAAACATTCTGAAAAAATGCAAAGCTAATACGTGGTCTGAATTCTGTAGTTTCTGTTTTACTTACTTGGTGGGGCTATGGTTTGCTGAAAAAAAGGAGTTTCTTGACAATTGTCCAAAAAGTATTGGTGTCATTCTCTAAGTAACTTTTACAAAGCCCAGTTAATGTACAAAGCTTACAAGCCTGTAAGTTTTTTCTTCTCTTCTGTGTATACAGAGAGTAGAGAGGCGGATTGAAGAATTCATCAATGGCGCAGATTCCAAACTTGGACAACTCGCCTCTCAATCTCAAATCCATTAGGTAAATAAATAATCAACTCAAATTTTCAGTTATAATTATGATGCAGCTCATAATTATCCTGAAACTGCATAGACTATATTTGTTGATCACTTGGTTTTGTTGATTGTTTCTAGGGAACAGGCACAAAGGGAGCTGATAAACCTTCTCAAGGACGTGAGTTTCATTTACCAGAAGAATTCATTTCATCAGTTTATTTTAGTTAATTTGGAAATTATGTTTAAACTAACATCGTTTTAGCTTCAAAGGAAATAGGGATGTTACTTGAAGTATGCAGAGTAATTTCAATATCCTAGTTTAGTAAACTTTAGGTTTTTTTGGTTTCCGAACATTGAAAAGGCAAAATAACTGCCAGTGTAGTTAGTTGTTTTTGCAAATGATTATAGTTTCTTGAATTCTTGTGCTCAATTTTATGTTTTGTTATCTGGCAGATTCGAGGAAAGAAGTGTATGATTATTGATCCAAAGCTGGGCGGTTCGCTTTCGTTGATTATTCAGACATCCCTGTTAAAGGCAATTCTTCTTTAACTATACATTTTTTACAAAGAAATTGATATGAATCAGCTGGGCTAAATTGGAAAACTAGTTCCTTCAATTTTACTAAATGGAGACTTATTTTGCCATTTAATTCTTTATTTATTTAGATGTAGGCTTTACTGTTCGGCTTGTCGATGAAGTCAGAATTCCAAAGAAATTCCTTTGCATCTGTATCTGGTTGCTTTCAAATAATAAAATTTCATGGAAATGCAAGCTTCAACTAGACAAGAAATATTTGTTTCTCTTTATAAACAAAGGAAGTAGAGGTATAAGAAATTATCTTCTGAAGTGGATGAAATTAGTGCAATGCTACTATTTAAACACAAATTTAGAAGCACCAGAGCCTTTAGTTTGTATGGTTATCTTTGCTTTTGGTGAAGTTAATTTATGGGGTTTGATACCAGGTCTTACCAAAAAGAAAAAAAGAATTCACATTTAGGAGATTTTCATTGACTCTATACAGGAGCATGGTGTTGAATTGCGGCACCTATCGGGAGACCCGATTCAGACTGAATGCAGCAAAGTGGTTTATCTTGTGCGGTCTCAGCTTAATTTTATGAAGTTCATATCTTCTCATATTCATAATGATGTATCAAAAGGGCTTCAAAGAGAGTACTTTATCTATTTTGTCCCTCGCCGTTCAGTTGCTTGTGAGAAGGTAAAAATTATTGGCCATTTAAAGCTCTTGCAGTTTAAAACAATGATAAAATGTTCTTCACATTGACATGTACATGCTAATGGAGATTAGTAAATCTTTTTAATTATTTAGATACTTGAGGAGGAAAAAGTTCATAATCTTGTGACCATTAAGGAATATCCTTTATACATGGTTCCGCTGGATGAGGATGTAATATCATTTGAGCTCCATCTTACTGACAAGGTACCGGAAGCAGAATTTATTTAAACATTTCTTTTGTTATTTTTTCCCAATTTTTGATGCAACAAGTGTTTTTCTATTAATATTTTATTTATTCATTCTAGGAATGCCTGGTTGATGGTGATACAAGCTCTCTTTGGCATGTTGCAAAGGCTATCCACAAACTTGAGGTTTTTTATCATATATTTTCAGCTATATAATGATGACTTATCCAACATTCTACTATAAATAACATGGTTGCAGTTTTCTTTTGGATTGATACCAAATGTGAGAGCTAAAGGCAAAGCATCAGTACGTGTTGCTGATATTCTTAGTCGCATGCAAGTGGAGGAACCTGTCAATTCATCTGATGTAATTATTCACCACTGAAATTGCATATTTGTGTGGATCAACCTCCTTACGTACTATTTACATTCTTTTTCTGTAATATATTTAGTTTTTATTGGTTTTACTTTTTTTAAAATTTCAGATGGGCATATCAGAAATAAATACACTTATCCTTCTTGATAGGGAGGTAAAGTTTTTTCTTCAACCCAAAATTCTGAAGTTTCTTTTTGAAATAAAAGAGAGAAATATTATTCACAAAGGTACCAGAGGGGTACCACCTGTATACAAAATAGTTACATATCTATTAAGTGGTACATAATTAATCCAGTGTCTTCCCAATCATGCACATCATGGTCTAATAAGATAGATCCAAAAGTATGAAATCATTTATCTCTAATGTTTACAATATTAGTTTCAATACCCTCAAACGCCATCGCATTTCTTTCCTTCCACACAACCCAAAAAATGGTAAGTGGTATAAGGAATAGATACCTATTTGTTTTACAATATCCCGCCCAAGCCCAAAGTTCTCCACTTACATTACCAGCTCTAACCCAAAACAAACCCAGCAGCCCAAAAACCATTGCCCAAATGCTGTTAATTACCGGACAGCCCAACAATAAATGGTAACAAGATTCCTCATCAGCTTTACAAAAGTAGCAACTATTCACCATAATGTTTCCTTTCATTTTTAACATGTCAATAGTCAAAATGCTATCTCTCGCCGCCTCCCAAGTAAAAAACGCCACTCTAGGGGACGCCTTAGCTTTCCAAATTAGCTTGAAAGGTGCAGTCATGTTCTGATCACCAACTCTTTTGCACAACAAAATTCTTAAGTTTTGTTAAGAGTTGACTCTCTAGGAATTTAATGTTGAAGGGGTGTGATTTTAATTTCTGAAATTTACTGAAAGTTGATACTAAGTGCTGAAGATTGGTCTAATAGTAGGGTGATTAGAAGATATAGCAGTATAATTCATATAATCTTGGTCAATTTACATTTGTTTTTTCAATAGAAAAAGAAACATATTCGAGAAGGAAAGAGGAAGTAGAACCTGAGGAGGACAACCTGTCCTCCAAAAAGAGGGAAAAGGATAGAATGTACAAGAAATATAAAAAACCTAATAATCACTGCAAAATGACAATCTAATGCCCCTGAAGCGTAGAAAGAGGAAACCCCCTAAAAAACTTTGCTCTTCAGTCCAAGGAGAAGCGAAGCACAGAATCCCATCTCAAATATATATATCACCACAGGTTTGCTGATTTAAAAAATTCTAGCATTTCTCTCAAATTGGAGGACAGAAAGACCTTCAAAATTGGCGACATTCCAAAGTGTGGAATGCTCTTTACTCCCCTAAATCACATAGAGATGTAGAATTGAAAATCTCCAAGTCTTGGGGGCACACCCAAATCAGTCTGAAGGACAAAGTCCTGCTCCAAGCCTTTCAAGATACCTCGTAATGCAGAAACAAGTGATTGTTGCATTCCAGACTGTGAAATCACATGAAGCATACATAAGGGGAAAGAAGAATTTGGGGTATGTGATGGTGAAGTAATTCATTAGATTGATACCATGAAGTAAGTCTTATTTTAAAAAGAAAAAGATACCATGAAGTAAGTAATTAGGTTGCGCTTATTAGGCATCTCTGTCCAAAAGCTCCCACCTTAAATGGAACTTTTACTTTCAGAAATGAGGAGGGATTAGTAACATTACACTATGTTTGGATTGAAGGAAGTAGAGGAAAAGAAAGGAGATAATAGGATGATCACCCTCCTTTTTCTTCTTTGGATAAAAAATAATAATTAGTAAAGAAATGGAAGGCATGGTTCATCCCTCTTTTTCCATTAAAGTTATAGTTTTTTCATTCCTCCAAACTGGGTAAAGAAGAGGGGAAAGTGAAGGACTTAAAAATTTTGAAGAGAAAATTTTACTATATCTTTACTACCCAACTTGCTATTTTATAATTAAGAGTATGCTTTTTATTTAAAAATAATAATTAAGAGTATGCTTTTTATTTAAAAAAAATAATTAAGAGTATGCTTGACTATTTCCTTATAACCAATCTTTTCATTTCCTTTATTAAGCTAAACCAAATAAAATATTATAACAATTCTTTCATTTCCTTCACTTTTTTCAATTTTTAGTTATCCAAATAAGTGAAGCAAGTTTCCTTTCCCTTCCTCTAAAAACTGCTGTTTTCTTTTCCTTTCTTTCTTATTCATTACTTTACTAATTATACAAAGATGATGTTACTGTTTCTGTGCCATGGGTGAGGTGCTCAAAGAAAGAACCAACTAGCCAAATATTAATCAGGTTACCAAGTCAAATATTTTCCCATCATGGGGATTTCTGACAATGGAAAGGTTCTAGGATGTGTGATTATCAGGAAAGGACAAAATGGAATCAACAGGAGAATTATGTCTAATGGAAACTCTTTAAGGGCATGGGAAAAGAGATGCGAGTGGTGCACTCCTTCCAACAGGTCTTCCTAAAAAAGAAAGTGAGATCGATCCCCACCCTAGCTTGCACAAGTGGGAAAATTAAACAAATACCGCTGTAATTGCTTTCCAGAGACTTTTGTGGAGGATGGAAGAACCTGTTTCAGAGTCCCAATCATTGTGGTGTGGCCTGAACTTATTTCTCACCATCTGTGCCACAAAGATCTAGTTCATTGTGCATGCATGCATGTGAGCAAGCCAACAGATATTATAGTTATAGTTGTTCCCATCTAAAAATACAATGATTTGGCTGCAGGTTGACATGGTCACTCCTATGTGCTCTCAGTTAACATATGAAGGGCTGCTCGACGAGGTAAGTAAATGAAAAAGCAGGACAATTATCTATATTAATTCATATGACTAATGGCTGGAAGGTATCAAATGGGAGTGGATATGCTGGCTGCAAGGAACATATAAGTAGCAAATTTTATTCATACTGTATTGCCTGTTATTTTATTGCTTAGCTTGCGGCAGTGTAAGATTAATCCTGTGTCTCCCTATCCTCAACACCCTGCTCCCCCACCCACCAAATAAAAGAGGATTAGTGATACAGATATGTAAATTGATTTAATTTTTTGTTGGTTAGAGAAAAAAGTGTAAAACATATGCATTTGGTCGGGCCCTTATTTCATGTTTGTCCGTTAATTGCTTAGTGAATTAGGCTATTTTTGCTATTTTGTAACTCTGCCCTGCCTTTCCCTACTCTACCATATAAAAAAGGGAAGAGAATAATGATTCTAAGGTGCATATAAAAAATTCTGACATATATATATGTATGCATTGTATATATAATGCTCATGTTTGCTTGTTTGTTATCAACACTCCTTGAATAGTGAGGAAGCTGAACATCTAGTGGTATGAGCATTGCATACTTTGGGTTCCATGCATTGAGGAGTTGTAGATGTAAAAATTGATCATAATCATGCATCTTAGGAACCAAAATGAACCAATAGTATGATACCAAAGACCTAAACTAAACTGACATGTTTCTTTTGCTTGGTAAATTGTTTCTTGTTGAGCGGATTTTTGTAGTAAGCTGGCTCTAATAGACTAAATGCAGTTTTTGCATATCAACAATGGTGCTGTGGAGCTTGATGCATCTATCATGGGTGTTCAACAAGAGGGAAAAAAGACGAAAGTTCCACTTAATTCAAGGTAAGTTTATTTTTGATAACAAGTTATGATGCAAGGGTGTTTCTTTCTCTAGTAGTT